CCGTACAGAGTACACCACATGCAGTACGCCGCCAGTACCTGACAGCTACCTCGCGACCGCTGCTGGTCATCCTGCATGAACACAGACGCTGGCCTCGCTGGTCCTGGACACCGGACGCACCAGACTCTCCCTGGTTCTATCCACCATTCGCAGTTGGTCGCCCGCGCCTTTCCTCCTGCGTCTGCGGTCCCGTAGGCCATACCATACCACCTTACCTTGCCAGGCACGCCAGGCACGCCAGGCTTGTCGACCTTTACCGACTCCGCGTACCTGCGCCAACTTCTGACTGGTTACGTTCTCGCCTCGCCGCTGGCGTCCCAGTACTAGCGAAAGACGCGACCCTTTCCGGGGCCTTTCTCTACACCCGATCCAGCCTGAGATCCCATCCCTTTCCTCACCATCCGACAACTCGTGGACCGTGGTGCAGCCCGGATCCCGATCGACGCACGGTAAGGGGGGCCCGCGGCCGCCCTAGTTCACCGTTTCCATTGTTCCTGCTGGGTCTGTCACAGTCACAGTCGCAGTCGCAGTCGCAGTTGCAGCAGTCACCCGGACCCTCTTCTCATCCCATCTCAACCGTTGTTTGTACGTACAGAGTACTCTCGCTGTACGACGTTGCTTCTGGAACGGTACTGCAGCAGCCTTTCCTGCTTGCTGCCCACCACCACCACCACAACGCCGCTCCGACCGCCTGCCCGCCCACCAAGCCCAGTGCAGTCAGTCCAGCAACTGTTCCGTGCCCTCTCCTGAATCCTGAAGCCGGTTCCGTGTCGACCTGCGCTCGCTCGCTCGCGTGGTCTGCTGGTCTGGTCTGGCGTGGTCCGTCGACTACCCGTAACCTCTTTCTTTCTTTCTCCCTGCGTCGCCATGGACGACTACGATCCAAACTCAATCCCCCCTATCCCCCAGCGCTACCGGAATCTTCAAACCCCTGAACCTCAGCCGCGGAACCGCTCTCTCCCACCACCACCACCTCCTCCGTCGCGCCACGCCGATGCCGTTCCCAGCTCTCCCGAGGTCATTTCTTCTCTCATCACCAGCTTTGCTGTCATAACCAAGCCCGCCGACCAACACTTTGAGCGCAGCACCCCGAGCTTATCAGTCCCTGCAACACCTCGCCAAGGCAGCTTTGGAGTCGACTACGGCGCCTTCCACCAGCCCTCTCTCGAACAACTCCGGAAACAAGACTTGCCCCTCGACGAGATCGCCGCATCCGCCCCCGTTATCCGAACCGCCAAACCCCCCTCCGGATTCTCGCCCTTGACCGCTCCCAAGTCTTCTCCCGCCCGCGACGGATCCGGCGGCCTCAAGTCCCTCTTGCGAAGCTCTTCCAGGCCCTCCTCCAAAGGCTCGCTCGGATCGCGGGACGATGCGCAGAGCATAGGCAACCTTTCAGTAGAACGTGGTTCTGCGCCCACCCCAGAGCTCAAGAGACAGCGCTCGTTTGATAGTTGGGGTAAGAAGCAGGGCAGAAGTCACAGGGGCTTGATGTATATGAGCTCCAAGGAACGACTACGCGAAAAGGAAGAAAAGAAACGCGCGAGCGTCGGCGACCGTAGTTCCAGCAGCTTCACCGGAGCCTCCTTACGACCCGACCCTTTCCTCGCCGAGACGCCCATTAGCGAAGAGCCCGCCTACACACCAGACTCTCCCACCCGAGGAAGCGCCCGCAAACACCACGAAATGGCGAGCCCCGGCCCCGAATCCGCCAGCAGCCCTAGAGCGATTCCCGCACGAGACTCGTCCCTCTTCAAGACGGGAGCGAATGCGAAGAGATCGTCTACGAGATCCTCCAGGTCAAAGAGAGAAAGCGCCAATAGCACCAACGAAATAATATTTGAAGGAGAAGAACAGACGTCGAATTCGCGGGAGGCACCGAGGCGGAAACACTTGTCTCGCCATGCTTCCGAAAACGACCTCGCTAGAGCATCGGCCGACGCATCCGGAGCGTCTTTCAGCCGCCCATTCTTCGAGTCTAGGCATACGGAAAACTTCCTAACAACAGGACCGTTATTTGAAGAAGAGGATGTGGAGGATAGTGCACCGTTCCCCGCTGTCGCTCAAGGTCGTCGTCGGGATGAGCAGATCGCCAGCAGACGGAAATCAGCACGCGAGGCCCCAGACGCAGGTGAAGCCATCAAGATGAAGCGCAGTAGCTCCAGGCTCAAGCGGCTCTCTCAGCCGTTGAGCCCCAAGGGAGATGAATCACAGGCGAGCTCCCGCAACTCGGCAGCGTCGCCCGACCCACGCAACAGCATGCCGGCCGGGTATGAGCGTCCCCGCAGTGCAGACTCGATTGACGACGCTGTCGAATCGTACCTGTGCTCACCTCGACTGTCGCAAAAGATTCGACATCCGCAGACCGGACGTGTGATTTCCTTTTCCGAGGTGGGAGATGCAGATGGCTCGGCCGTGTTTTGTTGTGTGGGAATGGGATTGACGAGATATATCACGGCCTTTTACGACGAGCTCGCGTTGACGCTGAAGCTTCGTCTCATTACACCCGATAGACCTGGCGTGGGCGACAGCGAGTCGTACGCCGACGGAACCGCGACGCCACTCAGCTGGCCCGATGATGTCTATGCCATTTGCCAGGCCCTGAAGATTACCAAGTTTTCGATCCTCGCCCACTCCGCCGGCGCCATCTACGCGCTGGCTACAGCTCTCCGGATGCCCCAGCATATCCGGGGAAAGATCCATTTGCTCGCGCCCTGGATCCCACCCTCGCAGATGAACGTTTTTGGCACGTCGCAGGCGCTGCCACCAACCAACGCGATTCCTACTTCGCAACGCATCCTGCGAGCGCTTCCGACAACGTTCTTGAAGGCTGCCAACAGCTCGTTCATGTCTGCGACGAGTAGTTCCATCACCAGCTCGCTGCCCAAGAATCCCAGACGCAGCAAGCGCAAATCCACCGCCACCACTGGCCGGGACACCCCGGCGACACATGGGAGCAAGCGGGACACGACACCCCACCTCGACAAGGAAAACCTTGGCTTGAATTTTGATCGCAACAGCACAGGCGACGACCTCTCGGGTAGACCCACACTGCCCGCCGCAGAGACGATGGATAGACTCAGGCCAACCGGCACGGCATCGGCGCAGGGGCACTACGATGCCGATGCGCACGTCATTGCCGCCGCGTCGGATGCATTGATGGATAAGGAGCGCCAGACGATTTACGACACGAGATTGACGCACGCCATCTGGGAGCTGGCCACAACGGGAGCCAACCCTGCCGTCGACCTACTGGTCTGCTTGGAACGCAGACACACGATCGGTTTCCGATACGTTGATATTACACGGCCTGTCGTTATACACCACGGTAGCCGCGACACGCGCGTGCCAGTTGACAATGTCAAATGGCTCGGCAAGACGATGAAGCGCTGCGAGGTGCGCGTTCTCGAAGGCGAAGGTCATGGCTTGATGGCGAGCGCTGGCGTCATGGGCGCTGTGCTCATGGAGATTAGCAAGGAATGGGACGACTGGCTGCGAGCCACGTCCAAAAAGGACGACCGCGGCCGAAGAACCGGTACACGGTAAGGGGGACCTTGATGTTGAGGTCAAGGGTCCCCTTCCCCCCCCCCCCCCAATTTTACGATGACACTTTTCTTTTCTTTCTTTCTATTTTGGACATTTGGATGACCTTGACCCATTTACGATTTGACCTACACTTTTGATTTATATCTAATACCTACGTAGGGGGGGAGGGGGAGTTTTGTAATTATTCTCAGGCGGCCCATGTACGATTTGTGGTTGGATACCTTTTTGTATGGCATCGGCGTCAAGCGCGTGTGCAGGCTTAGGGTGGGATGGTTGGTTGATTGATTGGGCGTCCTGGGGACGAGCTTCGATGGGGTTCCGAAGCCGTGAGGGGAAAAGACACCAGGGCCAGCAGGGTTATTTCATGAAGCAGCCTTTTGTTGAAGAGCATCGCTCCATAGTATATAGCAGTAGTACAGCATCGGTTTGTTGTGTCGCGCAGCAGCTGTGGACAGACGCCGAGTAATGTGTCAATACGATCTCCTTTGTGGAATATGAGTCTTTCAGTTGTTGCCTGACACGGCTTTCTTGTGACACCCCGCCCTTTTTTGCGTGTGACTGACTGAGTACCTTGTCGACTTGAAGTCCTCAAGGGTACCTAAAGAGAAGGGAAACCTAGTGAAAGTTCCAGTCTACAATCCTCCTCGAGGGATCCTCTATGCCACCTTTGTCGCCGTGCCCTCTTTCCCTTGTCTGAGTCTCATCTGAAGTAGGTGGCTGAAGAGAAGTTCATAAAGGGAGATTTGCTAAGGGAGGTCATGAGAATAAAGATATAAAGAAAAACCACTATATAAGGTGCACAATATAAAGTCCTCTCCTCACAATGCCAACCAAGTGGCACTCGGAGCTACTATCATTATTATAGTTATCATACTGCGCTTCCTGAAGAGTATTCTTCAAGGAATAAAAGGAAGAAGAAGAAAATAAGAGTGGTAAGAATAGTAGGAATAATGAGAACAGTAATAGTACCATAAGTAGTGAGAATAGGAGGAATAGAGGTTCGGTGTTGGGCAGCAAACTATTGTGTCACCCACTGGTGCGTTGGCGGGCATCCTACTCCATCGCCCACTTGCCACCTCTCGTCTTATGCATCCCACCCTTATTGCTGTGCTCTTCTCTTTGCCTTGCCTGGGTCTCTCTGAAATAGGTACTTAAGCAAAGGTTTCTAAAGGGAGAGTACCTCAAGTAAAAATGCGAGAATAAAGATACAAAAGGAAGCCCCCCATGAACTTCCATATAGGTTGCACAACAGACAACCAACCCTCCCCTTATAATGCCACCTCCCGTCTAACGCATCTTACCCTTATCTGCGGCTGAGTCCCAGTGCGGATCTCGATCCAAGACATGCACGTCGAGCCCCCACCCGGCCGTGCCGCCACAATATCCACCCTGACATCCACACGTCTCCTCCCAACCCATCTTAGTCCACAACAGGTCAGGAAACTCCCATCAAATCAGGCGAAGTGCCAGAGTGGTTAATGGGTGTGCCTCGAACTATATCATCTTCTGATGATGCTTCTAGCACATGGCTTCGGTCGCGCAAGTTCGAATCTTGTCTTCGTCGATGTTTTTTTTTGTTGTGGTTTTTTTTGGGGGATGTGTGTGGATTTTTGGTGTCCACAGCTTGGGAAGGACCCACTGCACTGGGCCTTGGGTAGCCGTACTTCCAACTAGTATCCTCTCTTCTAGTTGTTATGTTGTGTTGTGCCGTTGCTGGCCGAACTGAGGACACCAACTTGGACAAGATAGAACGATTTTTGGCCAGCTTTGAGTGAGATGCATGTGCTTATTAAGGCTGCAGGAGAGAACGCGACAGGTGGACGGCGTTCTTCTGTTCTCTCAGTGACCTGCAAACGTCTTGGGTATCTCTATAAACATAGTTGCATTTTAAGCTCCTTGAGCGATCCTGGGCAACGCTTCATGGCTCGACTGTATAATCCATGGAATGCGGCATTTGTCACTCTCCATTGTACGAACAAAGAGTTGACCTTCGTTAGAAACAGATGGCAGAGAAGTCTGTGATTTCAAGTCGCGGAATTATCTGACTACGAGGTCCCAAAGCAATCTGTCCGGGCCAAAACTCTCCCAGACCAGCTCCGGGCCGGCGCGACGGAGCAAAGTGGGGTCAAGCAGTCCGCGATGAGGTCGGAATACAGTCCGGTCATGACATTTAGGGAAAGAACCTCCTTCCTACCTACCTTATGACCGAGTGTCTTCTCTGTCCCTAGTCGCTCTGGACTTGAACACCACAAAACTCTCCGACCTCACCATCTCAAGATATCCTGTTTGGTCCAGGCCTGGCGCTATTTCATGGTGGGACGCAAGAATCAACACACCCATGCGACGCTACGTCATGGCTGCCAACGTGCGCCTGGATGCTTGCTGCTGCTGCTGCTGCTGCTTATTTACCACGTGCCCTCCCGTTCAACGGCTCAGCCCTATCGTCAAAGCCATGAGTTCTTTACCAAGTCGCAAAATCTATCACCGTTTTCGATCCTGAGACCGACATCTCCATCAAGACAAGACTTCGGCTTCATTCCCCTGAGTCGGACTTACTCAATCGACTCTCACTTACACCTGACCTCAGTCACATTCGACTCATCTCACAGTGACCACTCGCCTCACCCGTCACTCACCACCATGGACATCCTCCTTTCCCTCCCGATAGTCTCCTATTTCCTCGCCCCCTCCATAACCTCCTGGTCGACTTCCCTCAACCTCCTCTTCTTCTACATGACCTGGACAACCCTCGTCCTCTCCCACGGACCCCTCAAGATCCAACTCCTCGGCGCCCTCGCCATCCGACTCATCCTCTGGCTCCTCCCCTCCCTCGCCTTTCTCCTCTTCGACACCCTCCTCCCCTCCCTCTCGGAATCGATCAAGACCGCCGGCGCCGCAGCCCTCCCGCCAACCCACGGCCCGACCCTCCTCAAGACCCTCGCCCTCGCCCTCTTCAACCTCGTCCTGTCTGCCGGCCTCGAGGGGGGCACAAGCCTGGCGTACGCATCTTACTTTCGCGAGCCCCTCTTCCGCGCCTCCTCGGCCCTGCCGCTGCCGTTCCAGCTCATAAAGCACGTCGCCTTCCTCATTGCTGCGCGCGAGGTCCTGACGTATTATATCCACATGCGCGTCCTACACCCCCGCGGCAGACGCATCACCTCCACGCGCATTGGCAAGCTACACGCATCGTACGCTCACACTCGTGCTGCGCCGCCATTCTCATTGATGCTCTTCGCCGACCATCCGATCCCGTTCCTGCTCCACCGCATCGTGCCCATCTTCGTGCCAGCTGTGGTCCTTCGTCCCCATCTGTTGACGTACTTTTTGTTTGTTGGCTTCTGCACCATCGAGGAGACCATGGCCATGTCTGGGTACAGCGTCGTCCCGGGTATCGTCATGGGCGGGATCACGCGCCGGACGGCGATTCACTATGCCGGCCAGGGGTGTGGCAACTTTGGTGCGTGGGGCGTGTTGGATTGGGCTCATGGTACGAGTGAGGGACAGGATGTGATTGATGATATGCGAGCCGAGGCGGAGAAGCACCGTATCAAGGAGCGGAGTGAGAGAGCGGCCAACAATGGCGTTGGATTCGTGCAGGAGTTGAAGAAGGGCCGGGGACGCAAGGGGAAGAAGAGCAACTGAGTGTGGTTTTTACTGGTTTCTTATTTCTTTCTTGTGAGTTTGGATGGTTCTACTGTGCGTTAAATGCAGTTGCTTCTTATATGTTCCGAGGATACCCCCCCCCCCCCTTTCCCAAATCACCAAACACGTCCAAGTATCTTATATATATACTGACGAAGTCTACACCAATCCATGTGTCCTATTGCCCCCAAGTCCCTGATCCAATGCGCCCAAAGGGCGGCTCCTGTATGTAAGAAAAAAAAAAAAAAAAAAAAAAAAAAAAAAAGGAAAAGTCCAGTGAATCAACGACAATATATCTTCATGCTTTATGCCCAGCTGTTCTTCTTCTTGAACCACTTGAGCGTCTCCAGCGCCGCCTGCACGCGCATGCCCAACCTGGCGTCAAACACAAACGCCTCCCACGCGACAACCTTGTCGAGCCACTCCTGGCACTCGTCCATCTTCTTCTTGCGGTAGTCCGCGACGGCCTTGGCCTGGCCCTCGGCGTACGCGGGCTCGTCTGCCGCAGCCTGGCGCTTCTCGGGCTGGCAGCACTCGAACCAGGCCACGGCGGCCATCTCGTAGTGTGCTGTCGGTAAGGGGTACTCGTCCTTTGTAGGGCCCTTGAATGACGCTCTGTCTCTTCGTTAGCATTGCTCTTGCGATTATAACTCTCCACGTGAGGTGACCATCCAACGTACCTGTCTGCGCTGAGGACTTCCGTCTGCAGAATTGTCCTCGCGTCCTCGAAGCGTCCCAGGGTCCTGTAAATAGCCGCCAGGCAGATCGACCGGATGGAAGCCTCATCGGGCGTCTTCTTGACCTTCTCCAGGGCCTCGGCCGGCAGAGTGCATCGCTCCCATCCCAGACTCTTGATCGACATGTGCAGCTCCTCATCATTCATCCTCTTCGTGCCATTCCACAAGCTCACCATCTCCTGCGCGGGGCTGGCGCAGACGGCGTCCGCCAAATCGACCTTGAACTCCTTTGCGCGCTCCTCCCACTTTTGAATCTTGCGCGTGATAAAGGTATCAAACGGCAGCTGGCGCGCCATAAACTTTTTCCGGCCAGCCGTCGTCGGCGCCTTGCGGAACAGCTCCTCGGCCTTCTTCTTGCGCCGGCGCATCTCGTCCTCGTCCTTCGTCTCGGCGTGGAAGGCGTCGCGGTACAGCTCCAGCTCGGCGCACCCGGCCATGTAGTAGTACAGCGTGTGGCTCCAGTCGTTGAGCTCGAGGCAGCGGAGGAACGTCTTCTGCATCAGCTCCCAGTCCTGGTGCGACATGGCCGCCAGCGCGAGCTCAAAGGCGTTGAGGGCCGTGACCTGGCGCATCTTGGACTCCTGGCCCGTCGTCAGGAGCTGGATGGCGTCCGCGAGGCGGCGCTGCTGCGCCAGGACGCGGGATTCCTCCACGCGCCAGAGGCGGGAGTCTGGGTACCGCGTCCGCATGGAAGCGAGGAGGGCCTCGCATTTCTGCGCGGGGTACCCCACCATCTCGGCGTTTGCGTCAAAGTCCCGTTCCGCGGGCGTGATGTCCGCCTGGCCCAGGAGTCCGTTGTAGTAGCCCAGCAGGATCAGGCCGGATACGGCGCCGTTGAGGTTGTCAAACTGCGTGCTCTTCCAGAGCATGCGCACGCCGCGCTCGCGGTCGCCTCGGAAGCCGACGACGTACAGTAGGCGGGAGAAGGCGGGCGGGACCATGCTGAGCATGAAGAGGAGCATGCCGAAGCACATGTTTGCGCCGCTGTGGATGAAGGCGTCGACGGGGTTCGAGAAGACGCCAGAGTCCGTGTCCGAGTCGTCGGCCATTTGCGAGGAGACCTGCAGAGGGGCGAGCTTGGCGTCGCCCGAGGGTGTTGATGTGCCGGAGTCGAGGCTGAGAGCGGCCAGATCCTGTGCTGGTGGTGGTGCTGCCTCCGTCGCTGAGCCGTTCACCTTCTTCTCCGCTGGTGTAGCCGCTCCCGATTTGGGCACCTCGTCGGCGTCTACGAATTCGACATCGCTGTCCGACTTGCGTTCTAGGTCGGCAAACTCTTCGTCGTCGAAGCTGCCGGGCATCTTCTCCTCGCTCATCCGTTGCCGCAACGGCGGCGGATCAGCCTTGTTCTTGTCCTTCTCCAGCGCTTTGGCCTCCTGCATCATGATGCTGTCGAGGGTGACAAACGCCTTGCGGAGCTTATAGAACCCCTTCAGAGCCTCCGTCAGACTCTCGTGCAACACGGCGACGACGGCCGCCATGAGCTGCGACTCGGCGTGGATGAGCAAGAACTCGGTACCCGGCGCGTAGATCCTACTGCTGGTGGCGTCCCGTTCGGCCTTTTTGTAATCCGCCCAGGCCTTGGCCTCCGTGTCGGCCAGCCGTTTTGAGGCCTCGTTCATGACCTCCTTTTCGAAGCCGAGCACGGAGCGGAGGAACGTCGTCATGGCCAGGCCCAGCTGGTGAAAGGCCGAGTCGCCCTTGCGCAGACGCTCCTCGGCGCCGTCAATGTCGTCGTTCATGATGAAGGCGGCGGCTACCATGGCCTCTTCGATATCGGCCATTTCCTTGGCGGAGAGCTCCTTGGAGGAGAGGTTGACCGACGACGCGGCCGGGCTCGCATTGCTGCTTACCTTGCCCGCCGAGCGGAACCATGAGCCCAGTCTACTCATAGTGAATACGTGTGATGAGAGGGCGAAGTGTGAAGGTTTTCCCGTGGGCAGAATGCAACGTGGCCAACTACTAGAGAAAATGGGAAACAAAAATCGCGAGACGGGCTGGTTTTCACTGAGTCGGGACCTCGGAAGTCGACGAGGATGACTAGAAACCGGAAGTGCTCCGGCGAGTCGCTGACAGAGTGTGAGTGTGTGAGTGAGAGTGAGAGTGGGAGTGAGAGAGAGGCTCGCGGCAGGCAAAAGAGGGCCGTGGATCCCAGCGACGGACTTTGGGCGCTGAAACAAACACGGGTCGAGAGAGTCCGAATCTGGAATGCCGATTGGCGAAGGGGATGACGTCTTTTTTTTTTTTTTTTTTTTTTTTTTTTTGGGCCTAGTTTGGCCGCTTCGTGTGAGTGAGCGAGTGAGTGAGTTGGGTTGTGCTTGTGAGTGTTTCTGAGTGCGAGTGTACCAGTCCGGAGCTCTCTGATGGAGGCTTCGATTTCGTCCCTTTTGTTTGTGGTTGGTGGCGGCAACCCGGAGCTTGGCTGGGAATAAAAATGGACACAAGGGTACCCGATAAATGGCGCTGTTCAGCGAGGATAGAGATGGGGACAAAGACGCGCGAAGCTAAATCTGAGATGGAGAAGTGAGAGCCGAAAGCGGTTGAGAGCCGTGCTCAGTCACTCAGTGAGCTTGGTGCTGGCTGGTGGGCCTTTTGCTTGTGGAATGGGCAAGCTCTCGATATCAGGAGAGATGGCCCGGGTGTCCACGGTATCATGGGGTTAAAGGCAAGGCTGGAGGACGAGCTCTTGCTGGTGACGACGTTGATGTGACTGCTGACGATAGGGAGGAGGTTAGAAAGGCTGGCTTAAGAAAATAGCATGAGGTGAGAGAAGAGGGACCAAGTAAGCCAAGGCAACAAGGTATGGTCGAGTACATGTAGGAAAAGAGGCTTAGGTGAGCGGCGGTAAGTAAGAGCGCAGCTCAGCTGTTGAACAAGTCAGGGGTGCACGCACTGAACCAGTGAACAGTATCCGTACACGAAAGGAATTACCAGACGGGCCAAGAGTTCGCAACGGTCGTCATTGACAGGCAAGAGTGAGATGGGCCAGGGGTGTTTTGACAAAGTGGGTGTGGTGTATGCGGTGAGCGTTACGTGTTGCCGTACAACTTACGAAGAACTGCCAAATACACGTATCCTGCGGCTTCAGGGCATTGAAGAGGCAAGGTCAGAGAGGGGACGGCCGAGCCTTAAAGGTAGTTGTACTTTGATGTCCACAGTCCAGGTGGCGCGGGGCACGGGGGAGGGAGGTTCTGGCGGGAGGGCCAGCCCGGTCGAGAGAATGGGCTCGGATGGGTTCCTCGAGCTGGAGCTAAGGGTTTCTCGTTCATGCGCCGGCGAGTCCACCGGTTGAGAATTGGGACGGGGTGGTGGTGATGGGCAGGATGAGATGGGAAGGTGCTGGTGAGCGTTGTGTGTACGATGTACGTATGTTGGTTTGTGTATATATCAAGTGGACGGTGAGAAGCCTGTAGAGAGGCACGGCACGGTAAGGCGGTACTGTAGGCAGATCCGGCTACATCGGCCGGAGTAATGTTCTCTTAAAGAGAGGCGCAGCTTCGATTCACCAACGGACCCGTACAGAAGTTGTGTGAACTCTTTAGAAAAGCCTCATCTGGTAAGATGGCACGGATGGGTAGGGAGGGCCCTTACGAGAGTTAAGTGATGAATCACACAGCTTTCCTTCATAGCTTCTGAACCACTTTACCAGGGAACATCTGCTAGTGAGATTCAAAAGAGACTGGACTCACTGGAGAGAGTGAGCAGAAGAAGGAAAAGTTAATTACGACCTGTGCAGAAGTAGCGTCGTATTCCGTGCCTTTGAGTGGTGGCTGAGCCTGCCGCATCCGCATCCGCATTCGCACTTTGGTGTGTCCTTGATCCATCAGCCCCAAGATATCCATGAATCGTTGGAGACTTCATTGATTGTCACTAATCCAACGCTGCGGCCAGTGGGGGATGGCCCCGGGGTTATCGGGTCGTTCGGCTGCTGTCAATCCCCGAGTTACATCGGGGGCGCGTGCCTTTACTCCCTCCGCTCCGGTCCCCATCAGCCACTTTCATTACCTAGCAGTATCTTGAAGAATTTTCTTATCCTCACACGAGAATGAGCCTGCGTACGGTAGAGTTAGCTTCCTCCGTTCATCGAACTTCACTTGCGAAGCAGCTGGGAAGCCTGACGATGCGCATGAGCTAGCCTGGACTGATCCCTCTGGCATGCGCGCGGGAAGCGATCATTCAAAGTCCCCGAGACTCGACTCGACGCCGGGAGACGCCATTGCTAAGCAGCCTAGGGCCTGGGCATCGCCAGAGGTGCGGACCCAAGGTTCCCTAGCCAAGAGATCATCCGCTAATTACTGCATCTTGCATTGCAGGCAGAAGCTGGCGGCGTTTCCTTGGTCCCTCTCCAGCCGTCTGTTCGGCATGCATAGCATAGCTAGTTGATTAGAATAGGGGACACATGTCAGAAAGTCACATGTCCAAGGTTTGTGATGTTCTTCACAGATGGAAGAGCAATTGCATTCTCAACCGGGTGACCTAGTCGAGAGAGTGATGAAGAGTGAATGCCCATGTCACTATAGCAAGTGGTATCTACAGCATCATCAAGAGTCGACTGGCGGAAGTTTCCTTCGTCTCAACTCTCCAGACATCCGTCCCGATGCAAAGATCTGAGATGGTAAGCGATTGCCCCTTCAGGATATGCATAACGTGCCCGGCTGGTCTCGTCCCTTGGTCCCCGGCCGCGTCGATGCCTCGCAAGCAAGCCGCGCAACCCACACATGAGCGGGCTCGCGTGCTCAGTCCCCCCGATTTGGACGAGGTACACTGGTAGCCGCTGCCAAGAGGTATCGTAGAAGGGGAAAGTTATGGACCATAGGTAAAGCTCAAGGGGCACAGGAAATACCAAGAGGATGAAAGACATCTAGAAAGTGGGCAGGTCTCCCACGTTGGATTTCGGCGAAACGAGCATCTTTTTTTGTCTTATTCTACATACTTCTAGATATTTGCAGGCCAGTGTTTATAGGGAGGCCCCTAGTCCAACTCAGTCTGAGTTTCCACTTCATATTCATCCAAGGACAACCTTCACTGGTCCTTACATGTTTAAAAGTCATTGGATGAAGGACTTGTTGCGAGTGTATCAAAGCGTGTTGTGAAAGGGTCGCTGGCTTGGAGAGTATTATCGTAGGTGTTTTTGCTGCACCGCAACCAAGTGGTCTATGGGTGCAGTTATGATTCTAGAGGTTTCAAAAGCTCTAATTTACTTGCGAGCAAGGCGGAATTCGGAGGTCTCGATAAGATTGAAGATGAATTCCATAGTTCAATCCAGATATAGAGTGACAACGAAGAGTGTTTAAACTTGGTCTGCTAGCATGAATTGCAATGGGCACTGCTTCTCAAATGATTGTCAAGTGAGTGAGTGAGCATCTGTGTCTGCATCACTAATAATGGCCCATTAGATAGACAACCGCCACCTGGTTCTTAAGTCTATAAAGAAAGCCAACGAGCAGAAATGTTCAGCATCATTGATAGGCAATAAACAAGAGTCCTCGGTTTCTTTGAAGGCATCCCCAGAATGTGAATGAACCTTCATTTCTTGCTGCCTTGGACAGTGACGCCGAGTGAGTTTCTACCCCGCTGCGTCACCTCCTTATTAGACTGAGCTCAGTGCTCACAAAAAGGTCAAGAAAGAACTGCCCTTGGCACTGCGACGCTTCGACTTGGCTGTCTCTGACCTCACCCCGCCACACCTCTGAGGCAGCTACCCCGCCATCGGCCGAGACACCAAGCTGACTACGTACTTTTCCACCCAAAGCCAGAACACCACGGCCAATCCAGAAACTCCATCGTCGCCAACACAACTCCATCACCAACCCTGCCTGCTATTCCTGCTGCCAGCAACCAATATACGAATTTGCCTGTGACTGCCACAGGATAGTCCTCCTCGAACCGACGCCAGTCAACAGCTCGTCGATCCTCCAAAACCCCAGGGCACCATCCAGCTGCTGCCCCAGAGCTTCCAACCTCGAGGGTCCCCGGTTCCTAGTCGACAAAGCTCACCGACCACCAAGCTACCCAACTCGATCTCAGCATCAATACTCCAGAATACACCACCACCACACATCATCGCCCATCATGTCGAGCAAGCGCATCGCAAAGGTACGCCAAACTCCCTCCCCCAATCCCCAAGACCACCACCACCATACTATCCCTTACTAAAAACCAACCCAACCGCCCAGGAACTGACCGAGGTCACCACGACCCCTCCCACGGGCATGTCCATCACCCTCGCCCGCGACTCAGACCTCCACGCCTGGCACGTCTCCCTCACCGGCCCCGAAAACACCCCCTACGCAGGCGGCACCTTTGCCGTCCTCGTCGACCTCCCCAAAGACTACCCCTTCAAGGCCCCCGTCGTCAAGTTCGCCACCCGCATCTACCACCCCAACATCACAAACGACGCCAACGGCAACATCTGCCTCGGCATGCTCAAATCCGAAAACTGGAAGCCCGCCACCAAGCTCGCCGCCGTCCTCGAGGCCGTACGCTCCCTGCTCGTCGAGCCCCTGCCCGATGACCCCCTCGAGGCCCGCATCGCAGACGAGTTCAAGAATAACCGCGCCGAGTTTGATAAGAATGCCAAGCTGTACGTTACGCGCTATGCAAAGGGCCCAGTTAGCTTCACTCCCTCTGAGGCGCCTGCCAAATGAAGCAAGCGAGCATGGCCAGTTCATTGTACGTTGTAGGAAGTGTCTTCATAACTACAGCTGGGTGGGAAACGACGACGACGGAAGAAGACTAGGACACCACGAGACAAGTTGCTGGAAGTTCCTGGGATTCCAGTCATATCTCGGTGATTTGAGCAAGAGTATCAAAAAACGAAGGCGTTGATCGGTCCAGACAGTGAGCATTAGCGGCGTTAAGGAGATTGGATTTCGGGGTTTTCCATGCTTTTTCATGGATTCGGAATAGTCGCTAGACATTCAGATGGCATGAGCACAGCTTCGGCATCCAACAACTGGCCCATGTCGTGGGTCGATAGTCTGGGTTGCCCCACATCAAGAGCACGTAGGACAGAAGCCTTTTGAAATGCGCTTCATCCAGGATGGCGTTCATACTAGATTGTTACAGGACGCTGAATTAAGTCACTCATCATTACCCTCTGGAATCGACGTAGCGGCAGTGTGATAATTTAGAGACTCGAGGCCTTGCTCATAACAACTCGCGGGTAGAAGCAAAGCACTGTTCATCAAGCCTCGCAAGATACAAGGGGCACAAAGAAAAGCTTGAGCATTGTGTGATGCTACTAGACATCGTATCT